GGTATTTTTGGTCCACTCCCTGCTTGCATCTGCTAAATAAATCTGCAAGGTGATCAGGAACGTCTTGTGATCCAGCCGCTTGAGAATGTGCACCTTGTGTCTCCTCTATCTCGTCCACCTCTACAGGCGTAAGGTAGCCAGCCATAGTCCCTCTACGGACTACGCATTCACGCCTACCCGGGTTAAACACACGGATCGGCAGAACACCCTGTTCTGCAGTCACCACTGTCCGTGCTACAAGCATTCCCCTGTCGGAAATATCATTCCGGTCAGCCGGCTCAATTACTCCAATGCCGTTAACCTGCACCTTGCCAGTTACGTGCCCTTGTAAAATTGCCTCGTGTCCAGCAGGCACCCTTGTAGTCCGTCCAATGACGATTCTTGCACAAAAAGCTGACCCCATTCCATCACTACACTGCACCCGCTCGCCACTGACGGATAGTTCTAGTGTTCTGAAGTTAAGTGTTCCGCACGTCGGTAGCAAAAAATCCATGCCCAGGATGCCATCCATTGTCGGACAGGCTCCAAATGTTGCATATACAGCGTGCGTCGTCTTTCCTACCTGCACCTCCATCCAGGCGCTGCCCAGTGTCGCTATAACTGAACCATCAGCATTCTTAATGTGCGTTCCATCTGCTTGAAGGTGGGGTCTTCGTTCGGGTGAGATTTTATAATACAATGCGGATGAAAGGAATGTGTCCGTGGCTCCGGTGTCTATTAGAAGTTTCGCATGCTGCCCCCGTATCACTGCAGGAACATACATGCCTCCCTTTGCGTTCGCCTTTGGCAATATTGTGTTTTTGTCTGCGCGCTCGCCTGTTACTGGTCGTGCGTCTTGTTGTTTTGGCCCTCGTCTCCAGGCAGCTTTCCCTCGGGCCTCTGGGTCGGCTGCAGCCCGTTTCCCGACTTCTTCCCCTCTTTTGCAGTGGCTCTGCAATTTCGTGCGAAGTGCCCGTTTCTACCACACCTGTAGCACACTATGTCCGCCATAAATCGCCGTCTATGATAAGTGTTACTGTCTTCGTCTTGTTTCTCCTTCCGTAGTCCGTCCGTAGATGTTGCCTTGGCAAGCTGGTGTGTCACCCAAGCTCTTGTTGCGACTTGCGCCTCTTGTATGGCCTGAGTTGTTCTCCGGTAAATGTCATCGGCAATCCCCTCCAGCCCATGCTGCAGCGTGTCTGTCTCCCCACCGAGAACTCGAGCGTGTTTCTGTCTATGACCACTCCGTTGTTCCTCTATTTTCAAGAAACTCTCCGTCGCCATGGCCGCTCTGATTGCCTCATCGAGCGTATTTGGCCTCGCCCGAAAAATCCCCTCCCGTATGGCTTGGTCCTCAATTGCATCGGAAAAATGGCCTCTCGCTAGGCGGTCTTTCCCCTCGTCTGCAATCTCCGGATAGGCTAGTGTAGCTAGCTCCCTTATCGCCTGACCAAGTTCCCTTAAGGTTTCTCTCGGGCCTTGCCGCCTACAACGAAGTTCCATTAGATGATTTTCGGACAACTGCCCCGGACCAAATCTCCTTTCTAGTCTGTCTTTCATGTCTTCATACGTCATTTCTTCACCAGCCGGTCCGTTACTCAGCACCTTTACGGCTGTCCCCTGCAGACTGGCAGCTAAGAAAACTTTCGCCTGTTTGTCATCCCATTGATTAGCAAGTTTGCAAGCCTCAAAGTGGTGCAAAAAATCTCTCCATGAGGTTTTCCCGTTGTATCTATCCGGCACAATATTTGGGCGGCGAATTGTCGTAGTCGTACGGCTCTCATCTTTCCCCTGATTTCCCTCGTGTCTCCCTTCACGCTTCAAATCTTTTCTAACTGAAGGCTTCTCTAATTGGTCGGTCGTTCTTCCTGTTAGCTGCAAGGAAGGACTCCTCTCCATCGACGAACCAATGTTCATGATGTCTTCACCGCCTACTCCGTCGACATCAATTACTGCGCCCATCGCTGTGGATGATGAAACTGGTGAATTAACTGGCGCCATCATCACCAATGAAGGTACACGACGACTTGTTCTCGGTTTAGGTGTCGGCCTGCTCCTTGGCACAGGTGTAGGTGATGAACTGCTCCCCGTGTCTCCATAGTTCGCCAGCGTCGAGGCCCTTCCGGTATAATCATCATTATACCCTCCTCTCGAAGGTGGTGATTCAAACTCCATCATCCCTTCCGGTACTCGTGGCCTCTTTACATCTATTTCACCTAACTGCACTCGTAGTTGGTCTAACTCTGAGTGGAGCTGCGTATACAACTTCTCCAACTGCCGTCTCTCTTCAAGGGACCGTTGGCTAATCTCCAACCCCTCAGCCCGTCGCCTCTCATCCAGCGACGCCGTCTGTGGTCCTTCCGCCCTCTGCTGCTGCTGCTGTTGTTCCATAGCTCGCTAGTGTCTAATGTAGGTACTAAACAGGCGATTGATTTAATTTGTCCTATGCAGGTGAAGTAAAATTGTGTGTCCTATACAGGTGAAATGATTGTGTCCTATGCAGGTGAAGTAAAATGTGTCCTATGCAGGTGAAGTAAACCCAACGCCTATCCCACTTCTGACACCAATTTGTAGCGGACTTTACCAGGCGGCGTCTGCCGCTGACTAAATAATGGGCTTCGGCCTCCACGACGAGCGGTAACCGCAGAGGCCTGAGGGGCGGACTCGTTTGGGGGAAGTCTACCTCCAGGCGCCTAGGTCTGCACACCACGCACACACGCTCACCACACAAGGGTAGACACGTCAAGGATTATGCACCACACCAGGCTTATATACTTGAACTGGTTGATTTATTCAAAGTAATGCACAGGTTCCTATATAGGCGCTAATTACAGGGTTGATTCGTACACCAATGATGATTATCTCTTGGGGACTTTATAATTAAGAATCACAAACAATCACCAATCGGGTAACTACAATAGACATCGGGACCGATAAGCCTAAGACGCAGCTACTCACCCCGCAACTAGGGTTCACGGGGTACAGCCTAATCCCACCAATCCAACAGCCAGCGAGCAACGGCAGAGCGTACTTGCTTTCGTCCGCACGGAGCAAGAGCAAGCAGCGGAAAGACGCCCGCGACGCACGTGCAGCGCGCTTATATACACTGCACGCAGAGCACCAGCGACGCGCACTGCCGCACGGAACGCAGCCTGCGCACCAGCGCTCAGCAGCTACGGAAGCCCAGTGCGCGAAGCAATATTTCGTTACAATACTCAACAGGCATGCAACTTTTCCTGAAATCAGAGCTTCACTTCACACTAATGCTATTAAAACTTGAAAAACACATATGAAATCTGTCAAGCTTGAAATGTCATCTCATTCTGTTACTTCCTATGCCCGTAGGAAGAAGCAGTAAATTTAATGGTTTCTCGGTTTCTATGTATCATGGGTCCATGTAACTTTTTGCCATTGCAAAATGTTCATTCGCATAAAACTATATACTCAAACCACTCCCAGCTCTTACAGTCTGCATTGGAATGAAACGATCCGGTCCAAACCCTGTGCCATTATAACTAAATAGTTAGAGCTACACTGTACATAGATCATTTTCAATTACTCAGAAAAGTACCGTACCCGATTTAATGACATAATAATAATAATAATGGAGTCTTATATAGCGCACGTATCTACCAACAATTAGGTACTAAAGGCGCTGGAAATTATGTCTTAAAGAAAGGTAAATAAAGTTTATGAGAAATATGAGACCCATTATGTAGCACCTAATAAGGGTTTACAAGGTACTGCGGCGCATATTGCAGCCACTGCCAGAAACACTAGGGTAAACCCCTTCTCTTAGCGATTAGTGTTACTGGGTTCTTTAACGTGCATTGCACAACACACGGGACAGCTTCATGTCCCATCCGAAGGACGAAGCAATAATGGTAAAGTGCCTTGCTCAAGAGCACAAGCACCATGTTCCCACAGTCAAGATTTGAACCCATGTACCACGCACGGCACACGAGTCGAACACCGTAACCATTGGACCACAGCACCCAACATACTCAAAGGGGAGATACATGTAGGACTGGCATCAAACACTATGTAAAAATATTCTGCCTGAAATAGTATCAGTTGGAAGAAAACTAACATAATTTGAAGGTGATTTCAAAACAAGGTGCCTGCAGGCACACCTTTTACTTGTGTTAGCAACTGAATCCAGTTTCAAGACCCCAAAAACCTGTGCGTTATGTTTCTGTATTTTTTTCAAAATGTTTCCATGTAGTATCCATCGAGCTGAAACCTCAAAAACTCTTCTTAAGATTTTGAGCAATTTTGTTGTTTCAAACCAAAAAACCAAATGCACCAAAAAGTAAATGATCCTAAACTTACGTTTAAAAAACAAACATTAAAGAATGTTGTTCATTTTTTAACTTTTCCGCAAGTAAACCACAACTCAAGCAAGCTTCATGTGCATTTTGTTCTTTATGCACACGTGTTCCTGATGTGCAGCATCCTTATTCATGGCTTAAAGGGAATATACATCATTTGCTTTTGCTGTAATTTTCAGATATGGATGGAATTGGGGGGTTAGAAATATAAAGCAAATATAGTTACACTGACTTTTTGGAGGTTTTGGGTTCGAAAATGCTATAAAAACCAAGAAAAACGATCATTTTCCTGTAGTCTGGTTCCCTGACTCCATATAAGAAGAAACAGAGCAGTTAACATACATTGGGGAATTGTAAGGTCAGGGAACCAGTCTAGCTGGCTCGTACCCGTTCATGGGTTTGTAATCGATTGCAAACAAGTGCAATGGTCAATTGGGGCCAGTATTTGAAAAAAAGCCAGTTGTTTCCAACGCTGATCGGCCGATCAGCGTTGGAAATTGATACAAAAATACCACTTTTCTTGAAAATGACAGTATACCAGGTGCCATAATTTTACAGGATGCTTTAGACTGTCATTTACCAACATCCTATTAAGGTATTTCGCAAAAACTTGGTAGTTTTATTTTTCGATGTTTGCAAATGTTGTATATTCCCTTTAATGTGCTCCCATTATTTTTCTTTCATCTCCAGTGACCCCAGGCCAAATGCACTCAAGGTTAACCACGAGGTCAACGGAGAGGTCAACCTCAGGATCCAGAACCTGGACACGCTGATGAAAAATATCAAGGCCTTCTACCTGGTAAGAATGTTGAAATAAACTGTGTATATTCAGTGGAAATTTAGTACATTTGTAAACTTTAAAATCAAACCCAAGATTTGTTCAAACTTTTTTTTCTGAAATCAGACCTTTCAATCTGCGAGAAAGGCATTATCAATATGAAAACAAACACATCTTCAAGACCCATTCCTCCATTTTTAAGAAAATTCCCTTAAAAGAAATGCCCTGCAGAGCCTACTTCCCTGGAAATGCCCGGATGAATGTTTTCAACATGTTAACAACATGTACCGGTACATTTGTTTATGTACCTTAATTAATGTACATGTGTACCATGTACCATGTATACATGTATAAGTACGTATCATGTAGGTACATGTACATGAACATGTTTTACAGGTATACATGTGTGTTCCCTGTAGAAAAAAGTCATGATTAATATCATACACATACATATCCTCCACAAATAAATACAGCCAGTTAAGATAAATACAGCCATGTCACTACATGTATTAACACCTGCGCATGTTCCGGTATGTTTACGTAATGTGATTTGTGCGCTGGCTCAGTTTACAGTGCAGTGTCGCTAATTAAGGAATCCACTCCAATACTGAACTGTATTGATTGATGACTGTAGTCTACACCTCCTAGCCATGGAGACCTGGTTGTTTACACTGACCCAATTACACTGGAAACACACGTACATGTACATAGTATAAAGTAGCATCAAGAGAAACAGTTGATGCATGGTTTAATGTCCTGTACGGTTACACCTCTATGTTCCGACACCCCCTATGTTCCGACTGCACATATTCCTATTCCTAACCCTAACCCTAACCCTAACCGGGAGTAACACAATCTAGGTTGTCGGAACATAGGGGTGTCGGAACATAGAGCAGTCACCGTCCTGTACATGTACATGTACATGTACATGTACATTGTGCATGTAGATTATCTCTTTCTTACAAAACCCCACATGATGCCATTCAGATTTATTCATAAATATCTAAGACAGTTTACCCATTTCTATTGGTTGAGAGCCTGCCACATTGGTGGTTTTAAACCACTGATAAACCATATGCACAAACAAATTTTAACCCTCCTACTATTTAAGCAGACGCAGACTGTCAAAATTTCCATCCACTTCCCCTGCTATACTTTTAACACAGGCTAGTCACCAACAGTCAGATCATATGACAAGCAAGCACTGTGTCTAGTCAAATTCAGTCAACAGATAAAGCAGGCAAGTTGTGGGCACAGCTGGCTTATATCAATCACCCACAGTTCAAGCACAGCTGTATCAAGTTCCATAAACAGTCACAGCCAGTCAATCCTGCTTTATGTAGGCTGGGGATTCTTAACTTTTGAAAACAGTTACTTGATTGATTTTGAGTGCAAGGACAACTTGGCATGTATGTTTGCATAGGAGGGTTTATGTACATGTAAAGCCATGAACAGCGGAAATAGGCAGCTTTCTATATAGCAATAGTTTAGAGTGGTTGATTCTTAAAGTTTCACAAACATCGATACCGATACACACACCAAAAGCAAAGCAGTTCACCAAAAGAATTTTTTATGGACTTTTAATTTTTGGGTTTTCATCCTTCAAAGATGTTGGTGAAGGGTAAAACCCAATGCAAAATAAAGGATTTTTTTAATGAGATTATGATAGGAGGCTTTACATGTACAGTGAAACACAATAACAGACTGTAATGAACATTTGGCTGTAACGAACATCCCCTTGGCTCCTGAAATAGTAAATTCTATTATAATGCACAATCACTATAACGAATGACCACTATGTAAGGAACATTTTTTTTATGGATCCCATCGTGTTCGTTATAGTGGCATTCTACTGTATACATATTGTTTAAAAAGCTGAGATTTGTACTGGATTTAGCCCCTTTTCTGTACCCATTAAATACATGTACATGTATGTACATTGTGTAAAAAAAATGTAAAAATGTAAAAATGTTCTAAAGTAGATTTGCATAGATTTACATGGTAATAATAATCTAGGAAAATGTTAAACATCTTTCGTACACTCACATTTAAAAAAAAGTAATATTAAATCCATGTATTCACTATTGATGCTGCATTAATTGTCGGTGTAGAGACTTTATTGACTATTCATAAATACCTCAGACAGTTTAGCTATTCCTATTGGTCGAGAGCCCGTCACGTGGCCGGTATTAAACGGATGATAAAGACATGGCTAGCTGGTCTTAAACACTTTTCCAGTGTCACAATAAAATGTGGACTCCTAAAAATCAGTGCCTCTTACCGTTTCATTGGTTGAACGTTCACAATCCTCACGTAGGCATGCGCAACACTACAAGCGAGTCAGAATTTTATAGTTCTAAATTCAAAACGCAACGCCCCAGGTGCGTTCTGCGTGACATCGCGCAGAACATGTTACGCGCGCGTCAATCTCCATAAAAGGGTTGTTTACATCTTACTTGCGAGCTGAACACTCCATTATTTTGCTAGAGGGATGTTTCGAAAAGCATGAAGTGAACTTGTTGAACAAAATCGGGATTTTTGAACGAATTATTTGAATTTTTTTTACGGATAAGGTATTTATGAATGGGAATAAATATGTGCTCGGTCGGTATTTATCACTCGTTTAATACCGCTTAGAGTCTGGGTGCTGATAATTACCCTCGCCTCCGGCTCGGGTAATTATCAGCACCCAGACTCTAAGCGGTATTAAACGAGTGATAAAAACCTCCGGAGCACACATTTATTCCCTTAATATAAATGCCAGAACAATTAACGGTTTTTGTAGTGCAAAACATCAATGAAATTTACACTTGTGCAAACTGGTGTTCACACCCATCAATCTAAACCTACCTTTATTCAATTAAACAAGAAATCACACTGCACAGATTAAATTTTGTGATTTGTCAACTTCATTCCCAACAAAGTTTATTGGGGAAAAAAATAAAGGGAAGCAATAATAAAATAAATAAAAATAAAAGCAATTTCTCAAAAATTTGTGTTAAATGTGTATGGATGTGCATACATACATATACTTTATGTACACGTACATGAACTTTGTAAATAAATTCTATTTAAAAAAATGATCCATTAAATACAGGTTGTTTAGTGTATATGTGTGCGTTTTATGTGTACACATACAATGTGAAAGCCTTTAAGTGAAAGCCTTTATTACTGTTGTATGCAGTGAACGTGGGAAACTTCTGGCTGTGTGGTACAGTGCTTTATGGGATATATTGGAGCACAAGGCACAAAGACGTGCTGCCTTGGTTGGATGGTCTCATTGTCCAGCAATTACGTGAAAGACTGCGCCAACTACATGTTGGCGCTTGAGTGTTCATATACTTGATTTCAAGGTCATTGACCTGACTGACCCCGTCAGGTCGCAGGTGTGGATGTTTTGGTAAACGGAGTGACCATCTAGTACTTAATTTGATGTCTTCACACATGGAGGGGTGTCCCTGTCAACCTATTGTGAATTAGAACAATTTTGAGCAACATTGTACATCTTCATGGATTTGAGCTTTTGTACATCATAAACCAAATTGGAGTAGATTTAACTATTTGGACGATACACAGTCCATGTACTTACTTTTCTTTTAATTACTAAATACATGTCCTGTTTCCAAATCCTGACCGTGTGGTAACCATTTGCAAGTATTTTTCTTTTGAAATCCGCACTGACTGTCAAACTTGTCAGTGCTAAACAGGAAGAAACTAAAAATACTTTTTCAAAGTTGAACAAAGGATTTGACTTGAGCGGGGTTTGAACCTGCGACCTCCGGATTGCCGTTCCGGTGCTCTACCAAGTACAACTGAGCTACATGTACAGGTATTCAACCCTATGTTGGCAGTTCCCCAATTTGTCAATTTTTTCCCAAGAAATACCTGTATGGTGTACATGAAAAATTAATGCAAAACTTTCACATTGCCATCTTTCCCTAATTTACATACAATAGTTGTTAATAACGTGTACGTACACACATGAACACACATGTGCATGCACATACCGTTTGGAGTGAAATTTATGCATAAAAGTATGGTAACCAAATACATCGTTTTGTTATACGTTTTTACAACGTGTGTCACATGCAGTGTTGTACACACTTAAAACTTTTCATTGATAAAGGTTATCTATCAATAGATGTACCTAATGACCTTTACATACGTACTCCATTTATTTTATTCAAGTGTAAAGCTCAATCAATTACTTTATGTGTGAAAACTCCATAAACCGTTTACATTTTTAGGGATGACTACTTCTCGCAAGAAATCTGAACCCCGGAGTGCTGTCTGCAACGCGATGGGTTCTGTCAAGGCGTGCCGTATTTGATGTGCGGTGGTATGATTCATATCGCTATGGCAATCACAAACTCCACGCCAGCATGCTGCAATGAACATTGCTCTACATGCGCCCACAGAGTGTAATAAAGATCTAGGGCGTTGCCATGCTTTCAACATTATTTTTACATGTACGTACATCTGCACGGTGTGTACCGTACATGTACACATGTATGTATTCCATAATCTTAAGTTATTATTATTCATTCGGCATTAAAAATACAAACACAAAAACATACAACATGATACGGTGCAAAAAGACATGTATACAAAATAGCCAGCGGCAAATGCCAGAAATTGTATGGCCTTCAATTCCAGTGCCAGTGGCTACACAATACAAATTTAAAACCCTTAAAAAATGAAAATGTTGGATAAAAAGCATGTTTTTACTTTATAGTCCCATCAAAATTCCTTGAATTTTTTGTTAGTCACAACAGGTGGTTTCAATTGTATGAAATATTTACATACAATATTAGCAATTTATGCAAGTGAATTAATAAAGCTGCTGGTAGTAAACTGTCAATCTTTGTTAATGTACTTCTGACAAAGTACATACATTTTTTGCTCAGGAAAGAAGAAAAATGTATATTTCAGACTTGGTTCTATATAAATGAAAGTGCCTTCGAAGGCAAAAGTGATCTACATGTGCATGTAGTATGTACATGTACCTTCAAGTAATTGTA